GTTGTATTATTGCGTCTTGTTAGTAAAACTTTCTGAATTTTCTCGAGTATTACTACTCCATAATGTCTCTTAGTGTGTGGAAAGTTCTAGACCTCAATTGGGCTATATAGAAAGTAAGACAAAGTAATTTAGTAAAATATATAGTCAAATAGATCTAGACTGTGTGTTTGTAAGTTTAGCCATAAAGAGCATATGTCAGGTATTATAAAGTGAATGATTATGGATTGTATTGTAATAACAGAGTAGAGAAGAAATAATTTGCATTGTCTAAAGCAATAGAACAAACCTGTGTGAAAGTTTGATGAAAAGAGACAATTATTAAAGCTCTGGATACAACTCTGTAACGTAAGTGAACTTATCACCGATTGTATTGTAATACCAGAGTAGAGAAGAATAATTCATCTTGCCAGTTGTGTTCTAAAGTACCTGAACCAGCATGTGTGAACTTTGATTAAGAATGCACACAAACTGAATAAACAAAAAAGTTTAAAAGTCGTATATAACTACAGGAGGTAGGATACATATGATATCAGTAACAGCATTAAACATTATTGGGTATTTGGACCCCTCTAAAATTTTCGGGTGCCTGATGTCATTGTAAGAAATACGGTTGGATCCACTAGTGGCTAAATAGTAAGCCTGTAAGCTTATAACACTACAAAACCCTGGTGAGTACAACACAGGTAGCACATTGTCTAGCTTTGTGCTTAACTACATGATAGATGTAATCCTATCAGACCCACAGTATTCATTGATAGTTGCATAGACTGAATGGTAAAAATCCCAGCAATCACAACACGACAATCAGTGCTAAAAACCACCAGTACAATAATAAGCATTATCTATATTTACTAAAGGCTGAACAATTCTTACAACTAGCACATAAACTATGTTATACGTCATATGCCTCTTGTTTTGAAATTAACAGTACTTTTCCTTAGTACAGAAAGTCAGCGTTAAATGCATCACTATGGGATTGAATGTCACTTTCCACAATTACGTCAGTAAACTTTGCCTGTCATCAGTTTGGCATCAATACAACAACCCACACTTCTGCCATGAGTATGGAAATACGTGGCACCTGCCACAATTACAAGTGAATGTTGCCTGCCACCAGTGTAACAAATTAAAACATCTAAAGTTACAGAGAAATGTACTGAAACCAGTAGATTTAATATCAATGATAAATATCACGCTAGACTGTTTTTATCACATTTCTATTAATCAGTTCAATTCAGATTTCAAATCAGAGGTGTGTGAAATAGAATTTTAAATATTTTTTTTATGTTGAAACATTGTTTCGAAGTAGTCTCCCAGAACAAATTTTGTGTTGAAATATTGTTCTAAGTAGTCTCGCAGTACAAATCCAGTATTGAAATATTGTTTAGAAGTAGTCTTGCAGTACAAATCCAGTGTTGAAATATTGTTTAGAAATAGTCTCGCAGTACAAATCCAATGTTGAAATATTGTTTAGAAATAGTCTCGCAGTACAAATCCAGTGTTGAAATATTGTTTAGAAATAGTCTTGCAGTACAAATCCAATGTTGAAATATTGTTTAGAAATAGTCTCGCAGTACAAATCCAATGTTGAAATATTGTTTAGAAATAGTCTCGCAGTACAAATCCAGTGTTGAAATATTGTTTAGAAATAGTCTCGCAGTACAAACCCAGTGTTGAAATATTGTTTAGAAGTAGTCTCGCAGTACAAATCCAGTATTGAAATATTGTTTAGAAGTAGTCTTGCAGTACAAATCCAATGTTGAAATATTGTTTAGAAATAGTCTCGCAGTACAAATCCAATGTTGAAATATTGTTTAGAAGTAGTCTTGCAGTACAAATCCAATGTTGAAATATTGTTTAGAAATAGTCTCGCAGTACAAATCCAGTGTTGAAATATTGTTTAGAAGTAGTCTCGCAGTACAAATCCAGTATTGAAATATTGTTTACAAGTAGTCTTGCAGTACAAATCCAATGTTGAAATATTGTTTAGAAATAGTCTCGCAGTACAAATCCAGTGTTGAAATATTGTTTAGAAATAGTCTCGCAGTACAAATCCAGTATTGAAATATTGTTTAGAAGTAGTCTTGCAGTACAAATCCAATGTTGAAATATTGTTTTGAGGTAGCCTTTCAAGACAAATCCAATGTTAAATAATTTGGTGTGTTACATGTCGCTGCCCAGGATTTAAAATCTTCAATAGAGTAATAAAGAGGTTACGTAAAACTATTCACAGCCCAGTTAACACAATATTGCTGAATGAAGCCCTACACAATCTACTTTATACCTTATCCCTATTGTTTCTATCAAAATCATATTTCACTAATTTCTCCCCAATAATCGAACAACCTCCTCCATCTTTTTTTTTTTCTTTACAACTCTGAGCCATAAACTACACATTTCTTACTTTGTGGTAAACATTCAGACAGCAAATACATCAACATCCTTAATGAGGAAAGAGTTATAATGACAAATTGTATTAAGTCTATTTATGTATGTATATGTGTGTGTGCGTTCATTACTAAATCACACTGACCTGTACTCATTGGTCAATCACTCAGTCGTGTCAATTATGGATGAAATATCAACAAAAGCTCATACATTTGCCTGAGCACATTGGGCCAACAAACCAGCTAAGCGTACTTGCAGTTCATTTTCACCCAGTCGACTTGTGAAGAACTCGAGCCAGTTTTAAGACACAAAGAATCGTTTAGAATTGCTGAAAGGGTAAAAATAAACTTGTGTTTAAAACTCCGATTACATAGCATACGTTTTAGCACAACGCTGAATATACGATTATTTCTTCATTACACGACTTCAACCAATTCTTCGGGGTTTTCAATTGTTGCTGCATTTGTTGGTTATTTACGTTGACAGAAATAATTCAGATAGACAATAGAGATGTCAAAAAGTACAGTAGAGTCCAACAATGTCAGGCCACATGTTATCGCATTTTCACTTTATAAAAATTGAACAGTGTATTCAAGAACCGCTAAGCCCCTGGACTTACACACCTCGCTCACCCCGAACTCAACTCCCTTAAAAATAACACACCATTGGTTGCACCACGGATACTGACCACGGATTCTGTATCTATGTAGCACTTAAAATACGATACTTGGGTGGTGCCATTGCACCCTCTGCAATCTCCTTAATATAAAGATGATCCATTATGTTCGTGTATGTGTGTGTGTTAGCATCCAATATTCAGAGGCAGCTTTAAACTGTTCGACGGTCTATATAGGCTATTTGGATTTAGGAATTTAGTCCAAGAAGGTGGATAAAAAAGCCCACTTTTCTATAGACTTTTGGCTTGCATCACTCGGAGTTGGGTGGCACAAATATACCGTAACTTATTGGTAAGATAACAGGAAACTGATCAACGTTGTATATGAACAATTTTGTTTCAGGATTTTTGCCCAAGAAAGGGGATAAAAACCTGACTTGGGTGCATTTTCACTTCTTTTTTTTACAGACTGTTGAGTTTGAATTTAAAGACACTAGTGTTTAATCAATTAAATGAATCAATTATAACATTCCACAAAAGAGGGTATGTTATTAGCATCTTACGAGGTAGTTATGGATTTAATAACAAAATAAAGAAGGAAGGAGAGTATTATCCAACATTGTTCTTCATACAATACTTGCTTCGTTAATGAGTACCTTCTGCTAGTGTTTAATAATTATGGTTATTTTGTGATTTATTTATTTTACTCTCTAATCTCTGACATAAGAAAAAAAACCTAATCTTAAGCACTGAGACAAAAGTTTATTATTATTATAAATCTTTGAATTCATCCTGGAGTTATTTAAATATCTCGAAATTTGTTGGTTTATATATATATATATCTAGCTAACTGCATGAATAATTGTATTGAAACCTTACCGAAGAAATGTAATTGCACGGTTTATGTATTTAACGAAATGTATACAGTTAGTTTCTCAGATGTATTTGTTCTGTCTCGTGATTTAGAGAAAAAAAAAGTCTTAATTGTTGCCAGTAAAGGAGTTTTGTTTCTTTCACAATACCACATTGATTGTTTAGATAGTTATATATCTCCATAGTAAATCCAAATGTGTTTGAAATACTTGTATTATTCGAATATTTTACAAAACGTGCAAACACAGGGCATGAGATGTATATATATACATATATAGTTACACAGTACGTTTTGATGTTGTTATTGGTAGACAATACGTTTTGATGTTGTTATTGGTAGACAATACGTTTTGATGGTGTTATTTTCAGACACGTTTTGATGTTGTTATTGGTAGACAATACGTTTTGATGTTGTTATTGGTAGACAATACGTTTTGATGGTGTTATTTTCAGACACGTTTTGATGCTATTATTTTCAGACACGTTTTGATGCTGTTATTTTCAGACACGTTTTGATGTTGTTATTGGTAGACAATACGTTTTGATGCTGTTATTTTCAGACACGTTTTGATGCTGTTATTTTTAGACACATTTTGATGCTGTTATTTACAGACAATACGTTTTGATGGTGTTATTTTCAGACACATTTTGATGCTGTTATTTACAGACAATACGTTTTGATGCTGTTTTTGGTAGACAATACGTTTTGATGTTGTTATTGGTAGACAGTAAGTTTCGATGATGTTTATTTTAAACAATGCAATGAAAGTCCACATGGGAACTTTGAAGAACCTTTTTATGTCGTTCTGTAGTTATCAGTTCCAAATACAAACAAATCATTGAATGTTTTAACTCCGTAAGCCACACGTAAAGTCTAACTAGCTGTGTAAATGATAATCTCTGCCTAAATGGGCGTAGAAAATGACAGTTCTGAATGTCGTAACTTCAGGGTCGCTGGAGTCCAAAGTGGGCCACGTTCGCACTTTACAACTCCATCACTGTTATGATTGGGCTATACCACATATGTGGGTAGTGAGGGTACAAAGTCCAGTTGTGATCTCCTGGTAGTTTTCCAACCGAAAGTATTTCACATATGAACTTCTGTATGAGCGAAGATAACCATTATCACATTCTTCACCAGTCGTTCCAGATTAACGCATCTCGAGCACACTCTACTTCAGGTAACACGTTTTGTATTTCTCACGTTCACGTGCTTTGGTAGTATTATCAATGCTTTATTTTTGTTTACCATAAACTTGAGGATTTATTTCCTTTTTCGTTCAAAAGTAACACGCCCCTTTTTTTCATCTCTGTCTACGTCCTTGTGAAGTAATATAACGAACTAAAAACGTGGAACAGCGTCACGTTTACGAACTTGTAGTGCCAAAACATAGGGTTCGATTCCTCGATTCCACCCCTTGTCAGGATATAAACACTTCTACGCCACTTACTACAGGATCTACATATAATTAAATGAGTTACGTACGTGGAAAGCTTTTTCAACTTCATTACACTATGCAAAAATGAAATTAGGAGTAAGGAAGTGCAGACATGCCACCATATGCGTAAGAAGAGATGGTGATAGATAAGTAATATGCATTGTAATGGGAAAGGTATTTGGGGAATGTCATCCATTAGAGCCCCATCTCAGACCGCCTTGTTTGTGTGTGAAATTTTTAATCTCTGTAGTAACACTTAGAATACCAGTACCATCATCCTTTGAGTGTTAACACTTGTTTCCGATGTCTCTTACTAGATAAGTCGATCGGTTTGTCATTTTTTGATCCCACCATTAGGCTTAAAGTGTCGTTTGAACTAAAGGCGTTTGGTGGATATCACGTGTTCTGGAATAGATTTAACCTCGCAGTCATTGAGACGCCCCAGACGGCAATCAAATTCGTTCAACACTCTATGTATCTAACTTTATACGTGAGTGAGTAGTCTAGGCAGGTCACTTAACTTTATTGATTAATTTAAATACACAGCATTGCCTTGAAGTTTTATAAACTTTGTGCATTTAAATACAAAAATAATACAACAACAACAAAAACAGTTTCATACCCAAAGCAAGAGTTTTCTTCCCCTAGTATTAATGAACACAGATGGGTTTGATAATATTTCGTACGCTATACTGTTATAAGCTGAAGGCACTGAAGTGTGTCATATAGAAAAGAGGATTTCCAGGGTTAGCAAGAAGGCTTGAAAACGAAAACAGTAATCTCATCAGAAGGGCAACATTCCATAGAATTTGCTATCAAAATGGTCAGAAACGGTTGCAATTACAGCAACATTTACTTTCTGACACAAGAACTAACTCGAAAAATATTTCAAATAGATTTCTTGCTGACAACCATTAAAGTCCCACGGCTTAGTTAATGACGCTTTAGGTCTTAATGTGGGATTACTGTTCTGAAAAAAACTACTTTGTTTTATATACGCAGAGCTAACATAGAACGTCAGATAAAATGACAATTTGAAACTTTAAGGCGATAAACATTTGTTATCATAATGGTAAGAGTCAGCCACGGGTGGGGCAGAAGGGCCAAGACTCTGTCTCTAACACAGAGACGACAGTAACTACCTACCTTCTCCCCCATCATAAACGTCTGAAATGATTTTGTTAGCTGGAGGTATAAAGACTCGAAATGGTGCGATAAAGAGATCCGAGTAAAAAAACAGATAGTTATTATACTACTTATTTGCCCCCCAGTGGCACAGCGGTATGTCTGCGGACTAGTAGCGCTAGAAACCGGGTTTCGATACCCGTGGTGGGCAGAGCACAGATAGCCCTTGTGTAGCTTTGTGCATAATTAAAAACAAACAATACTACTTATTTTCACTTGTTTTTTTGTTTTTGTTTTTTTCTATCATATCTTGGCCCTGAATTATCAAAATAGGACCAAACAGCCTTTCGAATTGTAAATATTTTTTGGGGAAGCCATCCGTCCCTAATTTGGCAGGCACACTTTGGGCAAGCCTGATTCACTTCCAACTTTGTATCTCCCCTGCACATCTTGCTTCAGACGCCTATGAAGGAAGTGTTTAAATTACACCAACTTTGTATCTCCCCTGCACATCTTGCTTCAGACGCCTATGAAGGAAGTGTTTAAATTACACCAACTTTGTATCTCCCCTGCACATCTTGCTTCAGACGCCTACGAAGGAAGTGTTTAAATTACACCAACTTTGTATCTCCCCTGCACATCTTGCTTC